GGCTGGCCTTGGACTCACAGAGATCTGCCTGCCTCTGCCTTCCAAGTACTGGGATTAAAGGCGTGTGCCACCACTGCCTACTTCATAAAGGTTGAAGAGAGGACACGCCCCTCCCCTTTTGGACTAGGAACTATATTGCATAACGCCATCCGATTATGTATCACCAACAGATCGATCCTTTGATGAAGTCAAAGTCATAACTGAACACTGCTTATGGGACGAAATCTTTAGCATACATGCCATTTTATTTTTGAAGAACACTTTGCATCCAAAAAGAGACGGATGGATGGATAGATGATGGACAGATGGATGGACAGAGGTAGCTTCCTTTGCAGGCTAGTTCTGAAGTCATATGTAGAAAAGAAATACTAGTAGCTACCAGGAAGGCAGCCAGGTAGTTGACAGCTTCTAACCACACAGTTACACCTTAGGAATTTTGTGTCACGTGATAATACTCCTTCAAAAAATTAAGAGTAAGAATCAGTAACTCATAGAAAATAGCAAACATAAAGGAACTTAACCACACCATGCACCATTTCTTTCTATGTTTTATTATTTTCTAAATTTAACTTACTCAGAGAGAGCTTAAAAAAAGCTGTAGGAAGCCATAGCTAAAAATAAGAAAGTGTTTGATTCTTCACATTCTATTACCATTGTGGGTATTACATTAGAAATTTAAACCAGAAATAAACTATCCTAACCACTCACAAAGCACTCTGTCAAGCTGCTATGGAATTCCCCTCTGTATGCTGTGACTACCATTGGTTAATAATTAAAAAAAAAAAAAACTGGCTTGGCCTGATAGGGTAGAAGGGGGAAACTAAACTGAATGCTGGGAGAACAAGGCAGAGTCCGGAAGAAGCCGTGGATCCACTGCCAGAGACAGATATGTTGAAACCTTGTCGGTAGGCCACGAGCCTCATGGTAAAATATAAAATAATGGAGATGGGTTAATTCTAGATGTAAGAGCTAGCTAGCAATACGCTTAAGTAATTGGCCAAGCCGTGATTTAATTAGTACAATTTCTGTGTGGTTATTTCGGGAGTCTGTGCAGCCAGGAAACCAATAAGCGGCCTTCCCTACAATATCAAGCCAAACTCCTATTGGCATTTGTAGTCTTCATTTCTAAAGACCTATCTCCTTGAGTGGCTCAGAGCTGTAGACAACGCCAACCTGTAGCTTAAAACAACCAACGATGCTAAGACTGTTCCCATCTCCCTCCTTCCTCCCCACACCCACGCTCTAGCTGTTGGTGTTGTAAATGCTAATCCTTTAGGAGCAACAGGGACCTGCGAAAGCAGACTGACACTCAAAGAGACTTCCCGCTGTCACTTCTGCTGAGGCAATTAGGGAGGCCCACAGAGAAAACTCAGCTTCATTCTCATGCTAAGCAAACAGCCTGGCAAAATACAGTTGAAGCCAAGGTCACCAGCGAGTGACCAACCTTTAGTCCCAATTACTAATAAAACAAACAGACAGACAGAGATTGAAGAAACGAAGAGCGGGCCTGGGAAGAGCTCAGAGTTTAACAAAGACAGATGCATCAGGGCAACGAACTCTTTTGAGGGCCAGCTCGGCTGAGCTGGAAGTCCATGCTAGCCTGTATGCACACCCTGGAAATAACCAGCATGCAGCCGACAGAGCCCTATGTCTGCAGACACTGCCTGATATTATGTTAGCATGCTTTTGCTCTTCAAGTGTCCAGAGTAAGGAGATGGGCAGGAACTGAACCCAGGTCTAGACTTTCACTGACAACTGTGTCTTTTCTCCACCACAGTAAGTTAACCCGTCATTGTGTGGAGGTCATCACCAAAAGAGGACCAGGCTGAATTTCAGTTCTGCTAAACAAAGAAGTCCAAAGGTATCTTAGATTATGCCTGATCACACACAGTTGAGAGAAGTAGTGTGTTTCGCATTAGGACAGGGCACTGCTTTCCATAGAACCGCGATGATTATTACGGACAGCGGCAGCAACTTGTGGGGGATGAGGGGCATTCTATGAGTCTCTTTGTCAGTAACTTCAGCCTTAGGGAAGAAAGAGATACCTATAGTTCCTAACCATTTCTAAATAGTCATCCCACTCTGTCAAATGTCTTCATAACACTGAAAAATAGCAAACAGGTATGTCTCTAATCTTTCCATTAGTTAAGCCCAGAAAGGCTTGCGGTCCTCCAAAATGCCTTTTAAAGTCTCGTATGTTAATAAAATAAATTTAGAAAATCAAGACTAGGGGCTGGAGATGTAGCTCACTTGGGAGATGACTTTGCCTACCAAGCATAAAGGGTTCATGGACCAGCACCTGAAATCCTAGCACTCTGTGATCAGAGAAGAGGTTCATCCTTGCAGTTAAGGTTGCGATTTACAGCCTCAAGACTTTGAAGTTCCTAGAGACAAGAGGGAGAAGGGAAAGGAAGGGGAGGGGACAAAAGAGAGGAGGGGAGGGAAGAGCAGACTGGAACTCTGAAAACACATGATGTCGTCCTTGGGATGCAAACTGCTTTACAGCAGCACAGGGGCAGAGACAGGAGGATCACTGGGAATACACAGCAAGTTCAAGACCAGCCTAGGCCGGAAGACCCTGTTTTAAAGAAAGAAAAGCTGGGGTGTGTGGCTCATGTTTATAATCCCAGGTGTAGGGAGGCAGAGACAGGCTGATCCCTAAGGGTGACTCACTTGCCAGTCTCGTCTACGTGGCAAGTACCAGGACACTGAAAGACCCTGTCTCAAAAAGAAGCAGATTGTATCTGGAGAATGACATCTGGGGTGAGTTATACCTTCTGCCCTGTGCATGTACACAGAGGTATGGAGAGAGAAATAGAAGGAGAGAGGGAGAGAGAGAGAGAGAGAGAGAGAGAGAGAGAGAGAGAGAGCAAAGAGAGGGAGGAGGAGAAAAAGATGGGGAAAGAGGGGGAGTGGAAGGGTAGGCAGGCAGATCTAAAACGTCACATAAATGAACAAGACCAGGATGAATTACACCAATAACATTTCAAAACACACTTGACACAACTGATTCTAGAGATGAGAGACCGACACAACAGGGCAGTGGATTCTGGGTCCCGAGGCGCCCCAAAAACAATTTTACAGGGTGATTTGTTTCATCGTCAGAGTAAAACAACTAAAGAGAAACTGAATTAGGTTTTATTCCCTAACGTATTTTAAACTGTACAGAAGCGCAAGTGTTTCTGGGAACTCTCAACATGACATTAACCACAGTACTGCCTTCTGCACAACACTGTATCATGTCTACACAGTTGACTGGGGAAGCCTGGTCGCATTTTTTTCTTCAATGCAGTAGGATCCAAAAGTCAGCCTAGCGCCAAACAACGACCAAGTCAGTAAGTCTGGATAGAAGAGAGATCGGTGGTTAAACCCACAGGAAATGCTGGAGTCAGACTGATGCTACCAAAATGGGACTGGAAAGATTATTAAGAGCAGTTTTAAATACGGTTGTTCAAACAGTCAGCAGCTTCCTGCTCATTTTAAACACTCACCTGGGACAGGTAGGAAGTGCCTGGGTCTAAGAGGCTCGCAGCTTCGTTCTGAATGGTGTTCTGCTGTGTGATGGCGTCTTCTCGCTTCCGCTCTTTCTGGCCGGCTTCATCGTCTTCATACTCATCTAAGCACTGAGAGAGAGAACAGTCTCAATTTCATGGCCCACGTAAGTAGCTGAATGCCTTCCAGTATTTAAAGGCACAATGACTCGCATTAAAAAAATATATATGTGTACGAAGCTGAATGGTGATGGCGCAGGCCTTTTGTCCTAGCACTCAAAGGCAGAGGCAGGCAGATTCTGAGTTTGAGGCCGGCCTGGTCTCCAGAGTGAGTTCCAGAACAGCCAGGACTACACAGAGAAATCCTGTCTCGAAAAACAAAAAAACCAAACGAGCAAGCAAAACAGAAGCAAAAGAAAATCTGTATGTAGTCACAAATTACGTTCATACGAAAGAGATTTCTTGTCAGCGGTTCCTATAAATTAAATTGTCTCCTAAATTCCAACATATTTATAGTCTCACCCATGACAACATAAAGCTCTAAATACCAGTGACAAGTTTCTCAAAGAGATGGCTCGTCCATTCTCTACCATTCATTCAACATGACACTCAGTAGAGGGTAACACTATAAGCATGGAATTTATAGTTCAGTAAGGAAGGCGTGCGTGCATGTGTGTGTGTGTGTTAGCGATAAGGTCATTTTCTACGTTCACACTGCCTATAGGGACATAAAGAAAGAGTATTTCATGTGGGAGCCAAGGCTCTGGAACAACTAGCAATTTCAAGGATAGTGTAATTTGGAAGTACACACGTGGACAAAGGAGAATTCAGGGGATGAGAACAGCGCACTGAGGATGCTGACTAGAGGGTTACTACGAGCTGAGTCAACAGCAGCCATTATCTATCTCCAAACCTGCCACCAGGAAACCAAACCGAGACAAATCCCTACATTATGCTATTACAGCATTGGCTATGAGCTGCTCAGAGCACACATCTAACCCAAACGCTGACCCACGTAGCTTCTCTCTGAGATCCAAAAAATTATGTCTATAGGCATTGCTCATAAAGGCATCAGGACACTGACCAAAACCCAGGATGGTCGGGAGACACCAGGATCTACCTGCAGGATCAGAACAGGTCACTGTGCTAACTAAGAAAAACCACTAGGAGACGGGGAGAGAGGATGTGGTGAATGGGAAGGAGCTGCTAGCTTGTCAAGGGCAATTCAAAGACAAAGTGGACCTGGAGAAACTTGGAAAGACACGTCTCTGGATGGAGAGGAGTCTGGCAACAGACCAGAGAGCCAATGAGATGGCAGAGAACATCTAGAACCTTCTGGAGAGTCGCAGAGTGCTAACACAGGTAGGACGGAGCTGCGGTATGATTCTGTGCTACTCTTACTGCCGTGAGTCTGCCTCTCGACTCCAAGCCAGGAGTCTGCTAGACTCTGCTAGGACCCACAGGTTAGCCTGCAAGCTCTTGAGGCAAAAACTGGAAAGGTGTATTCTTCTCATCTCCAAGAAACACAATAAATAATCTGAGAAGTTCAGAAAGCTGTTACAGGATTTGGAACATCAATACATGGCCAAACAGGCGTGGTGTGTGTGTGTGCGTGTGTGTAAAGACTTTCTTAAACCAACAGAGACTATCAGAGCTAATGACAAAATACCAACAACATTCAAGAGTAAAATCAGACTCAAGACAGTGATGTCCTCTGCCATGTTCTGGAAGAGCGCTGGGTAAGAAAACAGCTCAGATGACTACAGGATTCACTCAAGGGTTGGGAAGGAAGCAACTATCACCATTTTATATGACTTATTTATGTATTATTAAAGTTCCCAAAGACTTCTTTTTGATAAACATGAGGAATAATACCTGCCCAACACAACAGCAATGCACACTGAAGCAATACCAACACTTCAGTGCACGGAGGAGGCTAACAAGCAAGAGTAAAAGATTCAGGCTGGTGACATAGCTCAGCTGTTCTTTCAGAGGACCCAGGTTCGATTCTCAGCCCCCACATGGCAGCTCACAACTGTCTGTAGGTGGCAAAATACCAATGCACATAAAATAAGAATAAATAAAGTATTTAATAGAAACAGTAAAAGATTCAGGGAGAGGGCCAGGCATGGTGGGGCACACCTTTATCCCAGCACTCAGGACCTGCACTTGGGAGGCAGAGGCAGGTGGATCTCTGGGAGTTTGAAACCAGCCCGGCCTGCAGAGCGAGCTTCAGGAATAAGTAATCCCATCTGTGGTCTTCCGCTCTGTTAGCAACGACAGCAAAGGTTCCCAAGATTATTATTGGGAGCTCAAAGTCAGAATTCTAAATCACAGGTGTGTACAGGTAAAAAGCCAAAGTTGAGGCAGGTGGCCATGGCCTCTCTGAACACTGGGTGTTCATTTGTTCATGCTTATTTTCTGAGACTCGGCGCCTTCCCCCTTCCTCTGCTGCCCCCTTAATAACTGCAGACCGCCCCACCTCTATCAAATTAAAATCTAAAGTGAAGCATCCAGTACGTGCTTAATAATGAATCACCAGGGCAAGTCACACCGCGAAGCCAAAGCTACCCCATCAGAACTCTGCACATCTTCCCACAGTGCATCCTTTTCCCTGCTGCCGGGCACCTAGTCCTCCACACTTGGCATCTCCGTAGGAGACTGCACCCCCACCTTGCGGGCAGCCTTCAAAAGGGATTGATTATGTGATTCTTTACAAATTCTTTAGAACCGGTTGTCAACCAGTCCAGATCTGTCGTCTACTGATATTCTAAAAATCTTTAAGCTGTTCTATTTACTTGAGACAAAGGATCTGAAAAACGTAAATCTTATTTGGGGCTGGGAGGATGTTCGGTGGGCAAGGGTGCACGCTATATAAGTGGTGGGGGCTTGAGTTCAAGTCTCCAGCACCCATCTACAAAGTCAGCTATAGTCATATGAGCACCGGTAGTCCCAGCATTGTGAGGGGTCGGAGACATGAGGGGTGCTGGGGCTCGCTGGCTGCCAGCCTAGCTTTGGGGTCAGCGAGGAACATTGTCTCAAGGGAATACAGTGGAGAAGGGCAGAGGTGACCCATGTGAGGACCTCTTCTGGGCCACCGTGCACACCCTCACACCACCGTGTACCAAGAGACACGAACTTGGTACATGAATATAAACAAAACTTCACTCTTCTCCATTTTTAAACCAACCTTCTCTACCCACTGACATCTCACGATTCCGTGACAAACACTTCAGCCCCGTTCACTGTCCTGTCACCAGATCTCAGGGCTAAAGTCCTGAAAGCCACCCAAACAGCAATATCCTATCATAAGAACGCTCTATCGCGTGTTTGAACAAAAAATAATAACCTTGAGTTGGGTAGCTTTTAAACAACAAGGTGACACCTCCCCCTAATAACTTTGTCAATCAACCCACATTATAAAAACCCTTGAACACCAGAGATGAGAAAGAAAATAAAAACTTCCTGTGCTTCCACTGCGGTTCACGTGGTGCAAGCCTTCCCACAGCGTCCTCTCTAGGCAGGCGAGGGGAGCCCCGCTTGGCAATGTGCTTACGTGGTCTCATCGTATGCAGCACAGAGCCTAACCAGTGCACTGCACAGACTGCGGCTACAGGCAGTTTGTCCACTCCTGTCTGTCTGTGTAGCTAAATAGCCCCTCCTTTCAATATTTGGATGTATCTGCAAGTTCCATAGCTCTTTAAATATGCCACCAATTTCCATCCCAGAAATCTTACAGAAGGTTACCTGACAGAGAGATGACTGATGATGACCATGACAATGACCATGACGACAACCACAGCTACTATTTTACCTTCTCTAAACACTTTAGGGAAATAATGGTCTCAATGAACCTCACTTAGCAGGGTAAAGTTTTGTCACAATTTTATTGGCTTTAGGAAATCTCTTCATACATCTTGATTTTCTTAGCCAATATCCTCTTGACTATTATTCACATTCTGGGCATCTAAAAGGCTCTTCTTATGATGTGAAGATAGGAACCTGTGTGTAGCACATCTGGCAAGGGTCTCTTCCCAGTTTGCCTTTGCGTTGTTAACTGTCAGACATTTTTTCCTGTGGTTTTATGCCATGGTTTTTAACTTAAAGATCCAATCAACCACACGTTTCCTAATTTCTGCTATCACATTCATGAAATTAAATTATTATATAATGATCTTGGAATATATTGGTTCCCCCCCCCAATAATAACTGTTTTGTCATGAACAATCCAAAGCTGTGGTACTGGTGGGAGGTTGTGGGAGCAATGGTGCCCACAAAAAGCCCAGCATGCCTCAAGTTCACCCAAAGGATCTCCGTTCATCTCTTTACCCTCAACTCAAAATGGTACCGCCAAGTGGGGTGCAGTGACACACACCTTTAATCCCAGCACCTGGGAGCCAGAGGCAGGTGGATCTCTGTAAGTGCAAGGCCCTCCTGGTCTATACAGTGAGTTCTAGGACAGTCAGAGCTACATAGTGAGACCCTGTCTCGAAGGAAAAAAATATCCATCTTTATCACGTATTTTTACATGAGTCTAGTTTTCACTTTCTATGCGGTCTCACTGGTCTCTCTACAGTAATGTACAGGGGACACTGCTTTTACCATTGTGGGTTAACAACATCTACGAGCACCTGCCAGTTCCACTCTTTATGCTTCACCGCTAAATCTTCCTTCCTCATCGCTAGCCAACTTATTTTTCCCATTTTCAATTCCTTGGTATCTTTCAGTTAACGAATAAACTACTCAGAGAAAATCCAGGGCAATCCTCGTTAGGGTGTAACCTTGTAAAATGGGGACCGTCAGCAGCTACAACAGGGGGTTGTGGTTATACGGGTTAGCAGTGAATTGAAAGTAAGAAGATCAAAGATGATATGGGTTCTGGGTAGACTTAGAGCAAACACAGATGCGCACTGGACAGAGGAGAGAAACACGGAGAAACGCAGTAACGAGAGAGACAACTCCTACTCTCACTGGTGTTAAGAGTAAAGTTCAACAACGGGGGCACAAGGACCGTGGTTGAGGACTTGCAATACTGGTGGAACACAAGGTAAGTAAGCAAAGGGACCCGAAGGACATAGGGCAGATGAATCGCCTCGGACTAAAGCTCTCAAGAAGAATCCAGATTGACCCGG